AACACACGTGAATAATGTGCATACTACATGTTACTTACGCTCTATACTAGATACTATTGCTATTAATAAAATATAAGAAGTAATACAGTATGTTGGTTTAAGATCACAGACTTTATAGTCAAATCTAAGTCCCTTTCCTAAGCTCCACCAGTTAAGATTAGCTGCATCTTTCTCAACAAATTATTTAATCTAACTTAGCTTCTGTAATAAGGAAAGTGTTAATCCTCACAAAATTTGAGGAAGGTAATGTATATAAAATGCTTACTGCTTAACATGTAGTAAATGTTGGAAAATTGGTAGTCATTATTATATTCCTTAATCTGGAGAAGTTCACAGCCTAATAAAGGAAATAGCAAATAAGAAAATATCTGTATCATACTAGACAAAAAATTGACACTCAATATATAAAGGGTGCTGAAAAATCAGTAATAAAAATAGAAACAGATAATGAATAGAAAAGTGAGGAAAAAAGATAATTCTCTAATGAAAAAAAATACGTGCTCAAATGAAAAGTACTCAACCTCATTAAACTGAGACATTATTTCTAACTGTAGAGCTTCAAGGTAAGAAGCAAATGAGCAAAGCCTCAGAGTTAGAGGACAGTGAAAAAAATGAAGTATACTAGCTGGGAGTCCGTATTCTTCACCAGTAGCTTTTTCTTCAATAACTGAGATAGCTCAATTCCATGGTCTGGCTTCTCTTACAGCACTCCCATTATTAGTTACTGCTTTATTACAGAACCTCAGTGAAGAGGTGAGCACTTTATAGGTCCTATGGGACCTTGATCCATGCCCTTAATCCACCCGAGAATTATCAAGAGTGGTTTTGTTCTGACTCTGCCCCACTGACTTTATTCCAATCCTTCACTGGTCCCTAGTTAGTGTGGTAAAAAAAAAAAAAANTATAGATTCTACTCCCATTCGTTCCTTTTCAATTGATCTTTATCCCATGCAGTCTTTGGTATTAGGACTTTAAAAAATTTCCTAAGTGATTCTAATGTGCAGACAAGGTTGAGACCCACTGGTGGAACAATGAAGAATAACTATTCTTGTTACCGTCCAAATACTATGTCATACTTCTACAAGATTCAGGCAGTCCAGCTCATGAGGTAAAAGAAAGGTATTCTTAAGATTTTCATCATAACTTTGACTGTTTTTCATTGTTAATGTTCAAAATAATATTTCATTTTATTTTTGTAATAAATTTTGGGATGTCGGGAGGTATAAAATGAATTTGTAAAAATGAAATCTATTTTATAAAACTAGACCTAAGGAAGAAAAAGTTTAATCTTCAACTTAATTCAACAACCTATTTGGGTCAAGCACTGAAGAATGCAAGTCCTTATTTACAACACACCAAGTTATACAAAATTAAATAAGCAAATACTACATAAATAAATTACATCCAAATACATTTCAAAC